AGAGAGAGAGAAAGATAGGCTCGTGCAGCAAGGGGAGCCCTTCCTAACGTACGTAACGTCGTATGTAAGTACATACGCAACATACGTCGTCCGTGCACGTTTCGTATAGCAGCTGTCAAAAATCGATATCGCCTCAACGTTTGCTCACTCCGCTTTGGACATACACGCCTGGTGAGCGTCACACGAGCGTGCGAGAGCGAGAGAGCGGGAGCTTTCGTCCGCCGGCGACGACCAGCCGAAAGGGGACTTGTCGAGAGAAAATCAATACACGGGGAAATCGTCTCTCTCTCAACCGAAAGCCAGAATATTTTCCCGAGGCATGTTGTGCCTCGTCCCGCATGTTGCCCGACTTATATCGATCTCTCTTTCTCTCACTGCGTCTTTTTGCCGGCGTTTGGTCCGCCTCTCGTTCCGGCGTTTCCTCGCGCGAATCCCGTCGTCTCCTCACGTCGTGTTCGCGACGAGCCGCGCGTCACTCACACGCTTCGCGACGCAGAAGATCGGCTTTTATCTCCGTGAGACAGTAGTCCCGTTTGCGAGGGTTTTGCGCTTTTGTTTCCGATTTCTTTGACAGAATACTCCTAGGAGTGATTGCATCGAGTTTACGTTAATTTCACAGATACAGGCGGTCTTTTGTGTGCGGACTCGACTGCGAGTACGCAGCATCATTCGGCTAACTTAACTACTGGACTTTCATGACGAGAACACAAGTTATTTTGCGTGATTATGAAGTATATTTTCGAGATATATCAATTATTTGTCTCGTCGTCGTCTTGTTTGCTCTTACCCCGATTAAACGCTGTCATAGTGGTGGACGATTTTCCACAACTGCAGCTCTAACACTCCGACTCTATCCTCTATCCTAACGCGCTTCGCAGTGAGATACTCCACGAGAATACTTCCTTGGACGCGGATCGCGACTTCCTTTCTCGTCGCGTCACCAGCGAGTCCTCACGGACAGTCCTCGGGAACGAAAAGGACGCGTCGGGTTACGTGGAATAAACGCACAGAGGATGCACCGAGCTTCGTCTGCCCGCTGGTGAAGATCGCGCCGAACTGAAGCGAAGCGAACGACACCGAAGTACATAAACTCCGGGGGTTTTCTAGAGGCGGTGAGTCACGTTGGCTCGTGGCCAATGGGTGAATTTGTGGATGCTACTCGTATGCATATACGACGCGCAACCACCGTAGGTCATGCCGATGACCCTGAAGCAACGCGAGCTCGCTCCCTAAGAGCGTCTCTTCACTGATAATTGACGACCCGATCGCGAAAGGCGCGAAGATGAAGAAGTATCGAGAAACGTGGAGTGATTACTTCTTCTTGAAGCGATTCTTTCTCTGTAAACTTCCCGAAAAGCACAGTCGCCGGAATCGCTTCGGCGGACTGGAGTAGCGACCGCGAGGAACTCTCGCGAATGTTTCTCTCCCTCTTTCCTGTTCTTCTCACGACGTGTTCAGTGCTATCTTGAAATTTATCGATCTGCTCCACTTGTATGCCGTTAGCGCAGGCTTAAAGGAAGAAGACACGAATGACGATGAAAGCGATCCCGTGCGCTTTAACAATGAGGCTATGAGGAAGTCGGTGCCAGTGTGTTTCAATATCCGGTGGCGCGCAAGGGTGACTCACTTGACTCCATGAGAGACCTAGAATAACATTTGCGGCTTTTATTGGACGTGAAAACCGTTAAATGGTCATTGTATCGCTTAAGCGAGGCGTGTATCGATAATGCTGTTGAAATAGCGCTATTGACGCTCTACGTAGCCCCATTTGAAACCGCATAATGACCATTAAACAGTTGCTGGTTGCGGTAGAAATTGTTACGGGACAATGGCGAAATGAAGAAAGAAATACAGCGATTATTCAAAATATAATCAAGTCAGAGTTGCGAGTAATTAATTACTTTTTTAATTATTTGTCGTGTTTAATTGACGATTGATATGAACAAAGGAAATTAAAAATTATTCAGTGAATAATTGAACTTAGCATTTAATTAAATGCAAATTAGCAAACTTAATTAAAGATCGCTCAATTGACGATTGAACTGAGTAAATTTAATTAAAGGACGTTTAATTGACGACTGATATGAAAATTCAATCGGTTCAAACGAAAAGGTTCAAACGAGGTTCGATCACAATTGGTGAATTTTATGAATAATATTTAATTCTCAGAGCATTGTGGAAAACGTCAATTCAACTGATTTAATCGAAGATTGCTTGGTGACGATCAGTGCTCTTTTCAACGCAAGTCCTACTCAATCATTAGCATTTTCCACGATGCTCTGAGAATTAAATATTATTCATAAAAGCAATTGTAATCGTTTGAATCTTTTCGTTTGAACTGATTGAATTTGTTGTATCAATCGTCAATTAAACAGCTTCTAATTAAATTTGCTAAATTTAATTGTTGATTGAACAAACTTTGACTCCCTTTGTTTATATCAATTATCAATTGAACGGTCCTCAATTGAATCCGTTGAAATGAACCGTTATTCTTCGATTGATTTTTCTTGAATCAATCGTTAATTAGTTGAACTGAAACATATTTGTCCGAGCCGATTATTAAGTTGAGAAAAATTTATTTAATATTTTTACAACTCTGAAGAATGCCTCTCTTTAAACCAATGCATCTCTTTTATTCTTCGTATCCGAGTTACATTAAAAGAAAAAAAAAAAATGGTCGAGGTGGAATTCTAAATGTCACAGTTGCAATTTATTGCTGTTTTGTATTAGCTAGAAAATTGTCTATAATGTGTAGAATTTACAGCAGCAGTATTCTAGCAATATCCGCAAGCAAATTTAAGTGGATATGAGAATTATTCGTTTGCCTCTTGTCGCTAGTCTTTTTTGTCTTTCACAGTAAATTTTTATAAGTGTAACTAGTTTTAATTTGGATGTATGTCACAGAGATATTTTCTTGCTAAATTTTGCAAATAGTTCACACAGAAATCCTGTCTCTTTCACTTATACTGATTAAACATAAAACATGTAGAACATAGCAGTGTTTGTTGATTTATTCATCTCAGCAAATTTTTCGCATCTAGACAATTTTTATTATGACTGCAAGACCATCTTTCTGAGCGTGGCATTATGCGATATTTAATTTTAGAAATCTAGCGTGAAATATTGTACGTTAGCTACTAGATTATTGCAAGCGCAGCAACCAGGAACAGTTCACAAAACGAAACATATATATCTCTTTCTCTCTCCTTTTTTGTAGGTGCATCCCAACGCGGCGTCGTCTAGTCGCAGTAAAACCAGCGACACACACATACAACCTTCTCGACGAAGATACCCGCGACAACTCGTACGCAACGAAGTTACCGTATTTTACGGCGAAACACCATTCATGCGCGAAAAGCATTATTGCGTACAAATTTAACGAATACGCGTCGCAACATGCACGCGAGTTACGGGAACGTCGGTCAATGATACCATTCGATAAATATCGACTCGCCGCGCCACGTAATTTCCCAAATAAAATATGCATTAACGTGCACACTAATACCACCTGCTACAATAGTCGGGCAAAAGCCGGCATACGGCTGGTTCGAAGAAACGCCGTTTCGCGACTCGACAACGATTGCTTTTCAGCGCGACGTTGATGAGAATTATTCATCGAGACGGAGCGTTTCCTGTTCGATTTTATATTCGACGAATCCTTTGCGCGCGAACCCACGAACAGCTTCGCAAAATAAGGCGCTATCCGACGCGCAGGCAGGTTGCGAGCAGACGACAACGACGACGACTGCATCTTCGTTTTATTTAATGTGCGGATGTCGGCGGGAAGTGAGGATTACTCATACACTGGCGGTAAGCCAATTCTCTACACGAGACGCGACTCATTAAGTCGCTGTCGCAACCGATATATCGTCTTCAAGCGTCGCTCGTTGTCTCGTTCGCTTGCGCGATACGGCTTGATAAGACACCCTTTTTATCGAGACAGCCACGCGTTTGAGTCCTCCTCTCTGAATTTCTTGGGGTGAGGTCTCACTTCAAAAGTAGTGTGACCGTCGAGTCACTTGAATTTCAATGGCTTTTCATTCAAATAGAGTGAATTCTGATATCTCTTGATAGTCGAGTGAGTATTTTCCAAGTTGAACAGCGGACCTGATGCGCTCCACACCGTCATAGCAAGATATTGATTCTAATTAACTGAAGCACTCACTTGTATGGAGTAAAAATGTGTGGTTTTTTCATAATCGCCAGTTTTAAGTATCCCGTTTTATCTATTCGATAGCATTTCAAGAGATACATATGTACTTTTGCAGACTACTTTTATGCCAAACTTAGATGTAATTATTATTTTTGATTTTTTTATGATCAGATATACTTTCTTTCCTAAAAAGATGTAACAATGAATAAATAAAATCCACTCTAAACTTGAGTGGAGCATTTTCTCTTTTGCGATTTCAAGTGGTAGTGTTTTCCGCATTGCGTCGGCTGAAAACACTTCTACTTTCCGCCCGTTTTGAGTAAAGTTTTACTCCAAGAAATTTAGAAAGTAACACAGTACCATTGTCTGGATGCCTAACTCTGGGTATTCTTGTTGTTATCGTCTTTAAATACAAATATTTAAAATTTCGACGTAAAAAATATGTAAACAGAGAAAACGATTTGGTTGAATCAAATAAATTTCTTTGAAATAGTCCAAACGAATTTTTTGATTGATCGGACAAAATTTTGTTCGACGCAACAAAAATATTTATTTGCGGCTTAGTTCCAAAGAAGTATTTTTGTTGTGTTAACCAAATAATTTGTTTGGTCTGTTCCAAAGAAACGTTTATTTGATTCAACAAATCGTTCTCTCTGTGTATGTACATATGTTGAAAAATAAAAAAATATATATTTTATGTTGAAAGTTTAAATGTTTTTAACGAAATACTACAACAATAAAAATGTCCAGAGTTAATACATGTCCAGGAATTAGTATTCTTATTCCATTAAATTTAAAAAATAAAATCTTATTTTTATTAAAAAATTCTGTTATTTTCGCGCAATTTGTTAATTACGGATTTACGCACGGAGAAAAATAATTTTGCTCTTTTAGCAAGATCATTGTTGCTACTGCATATTCGTAGTGACATCAAAAAAGTTTAGTTAACGTAACTAATTTTACAAATTATTCGTTATCAGAGCAGAGGTACTTTCGTTGCCAGGATAGAAAAAATTTGTTGAGTGTATTTGTCCTAAAAATCACGTTAATTTGCTATTGATGCAAAATAATGTATCCTTAGCAAATCTATTTGCTATCGGAGCAAAACTGCTTATATAAATCCATTATGGTTCTTATAGTAAAATAATTTGCAGATTCAGCAAATTATATCCAGCAAATAGTGATTATTACTCTTAGCAAATCTTTTTGCTGTCCATATAATAACGAAAATTTTGCTAAACCAGCAGAAAATTTGCTGGACCAGCAGAAAATTTGCTGGACCAGCAAATTATTTTTCTCCGTGCGAACATTCATTTCGCGCTGTCTTATATACATTTCACTGACATTCGACACTGCCTTCAGTTTCCTCTATAGCTTTGGATAGTTCGGTCTTCGATACTCCTCGCACGAATGCACTTTGCGTCAACCATTGCGACTCTACTTGTCGCGAATAAACACGCACGCACGCACGAGAAACAGGAAGGGGGAGGGAGAGAGAGAGAGAGAGAGAGAGAGAGAGAGAGAGAGAGCGAGAGAGA